CTGCGTTACATCATCTGGAGAGGAACGTAGTGATCTGAAGATCGCTTTAAGCATAGTAAAATTATCTGGGTTCCTGTTATTGCATAAGGTTGAAATGAGAAAACGACCTCGTGTTGCTATAAAATCTCACGGTTTGGTGTCGGCTCTTCAGCAGTTTCAGGGTCGCTCAACGAAGAAGTCCGTTTGCCACCTCGGAGACTAAACTCTGAAGGTTGAGGTTAAAGTTGAAGGAAACGTTCACAGATCAGAGATCTGTTGTCTAAACATGGTTTGTTTAAGAATATTAGGGAGTAAAAGTTCTTGTGTTGGACCCGGTTTCTTCCTTGGGTTCGGTCATCTCCACTCCTGCAGCTGAAGCAGCTGCTGCTCTGATGAACTAACAACACGAGCTCCGTGTTGTCGTCATCGCATGTTCCCATATGATGAGATTAGTTCTCTGCATTTAGCCCAGTGGAGCAGTGGGCAGCTGTGTGGGCGCCCAGGGAGCAGTTAGGGATTGGGCGTCTTGCTCAGAGACACCACGACATGTGGGAATGGCGGGGAGTCAAACCTGCGACTTTCTGGTCCCAGGTCGGCTGGCCTACCTCTGCACCATCTCAGCCCCTGAAGAAGGAACAAGCTGGACAAACTGCAGGAAGAGACGTGAAGATGCATTTTCATTCTTGTTTTCCAGCACGCCCACTTCCTGTGATGAAGAACAAAAATGGAAACCATCAGCAGGTTTTGGTCCGAGACTGGTCTGGGTCTTGGTCCGAGACTGGTCTGGGTCTTGGTCCGAGACTGGTCTGGGTCCCCACCGTTTCAAATAAATGGATTTTTTTCTTCATGACTTTCCTCCAAACACAGGATTTCTATTTTTTTAGCATTACAAAATGAATCCAGTCTTTCTTTTACTTTGGTTTAGGACATTTTGAACGAACGTTTTGTTTTCTGTGATTTGTCGTTTTTCAAAGTTTACATCGTTTCTTTTTTTATTACTATTCTAACATGGAGCTTTTTACCTCATGTTGGGATTGGTAATCTAATCTCAACATTTTGACTCCAGTTTCCATCTTTAATCGAGGCCGAGATGGTAGAGGCAGGGCAGCTGACCTGGGACCAGAAAGTCGCAGGTTCAACTCCTGAAATGCCCACGTCGTGGTGTCCTTGAGCAAGACACCCAATCCCTAACTGCTCCCCGGGTGCCTACACAGCTGCCCACTGCTCCACCTGGGTGTAGCTCAGGTGTGATGTGTTAAAAGCAGAGAACTGATGTCATCGTTGTGTGATGACATCACAGAGCCCTTTGTTAACTCCTCCCCCTGGGCGACCCCAGCCGCTGCAGCTTTAGACAATCACCATCATTTCCATAAACATGTTTCAGACTGAGCCGTCGTTGGGAGGTAGTTGAGAAACATTTGCAAAAGTCCAGCTTGAAGATGCACATCATGTTTTTGTTGTGACGGACCTGTCGCTCCCGACCACGCTCATCACTAGAACTTACACGAACATGTGAAGTTTTCATTCTGACACGTTTCATCCTGTCCTACACAAACGTCCAGAAAGAGCGAGGGAGCTCGTTTCCGTCTGTGGCTCAGCTGAGCTCGTAGGACGTTTGTGTTCACGAGGCTCTGACCCGAGAACAAGCAGAACCTTTCTACAGATCCACCTGTTTTGAGACAAACGGTGACCAGAAGCAGATCCTCCAGCCTCGTGTGAGGAACTGAACACGTCTGACTCTTTTCAGTGGACCACTTCAGCAGATCTGAGATTTGAAAACGCAAACCGCCGTTTTCACACAGTAAAGAAGCGTTTCTTCTTCACTGCAGCTTTTACAGAAACAGAGGAGTCACACGTGTTCAGCGACTGTGGATCCGGACACCAGGCGGTTCTTCCATGTCCGAGAGGTAAGACGGACGTCTGGCCGCAGGACTGGAAATAATCCTCACTCCCCTTCAAACCAGAAGTTTCTCAGCTGCTCACCCAAACTGTTCTTACATTCTCCCATTACTTCTTTAAGATTCAGTGTTTGTTTCCACAGCTTCATCATCCCGAACGTTCAGAAGAACAACTGCACGTCTGCTGCGTCCAGCAGCTGTGGCACCGTTTGTCCTCTGATCATCTTTAAGTGTCTCAAAGCTGCTCTTGAAGGCAGGTCGCAGCGAGAGACGCCTTTAATTTGAGGACGCTGGTGACAAAACAAGTTTTACCTGCAATAAAGTAATAGCCCTGATTCTTTGCTGTGAGGTCCAGTGGAAAGGTTAAGAAGAATATCTTACCTGCTGTAGATAGCTGTTTGAACAGCCTCAGTTTGAAGGAACAAAGATTGATTAATCTAGTCTGAATGGGACAAAAATCAAAGTGCTGCCGCCTTAAAACAACTCCAGCTCGTAGAAGTCTTACAGTGGTTGTGTAAACGCTTGTTTATTTTTTTTAATAAACCCTTCTACTGAAGGCAGTTTCACACTAAACGGTTACTTCTGCAGAAATAAAAAAGTGCTCCAGGCTGCACTGGATGGGCTACAGCTAGTTCCTTGCAAACCACCTCAGGTCTTGTCCACACAGAAGCACAGACTGTCCCGAGAAGTGTTTGTGGTTTCTAAAACCATCCTGTAAACACGCCGCCGTTCACTGGCACACACACACACACAACTGTAGTAACCATGCCGGGGCTGTGTGTGGTGCTGTAACGCTGCCACAAAGACACCAAAAACAGGAAACGAGGTGTGGAGCATGAGCATAAAGCTGACACGATGCTACACACCAAGAGGATGTCGTCAGGTCAAAGGTTAGATGAGAGGAGAGGCGGACAGCCATGTCAAAACCCTGTCTACATGAAAACACATACGCAGCGCTGTAAAGTTTTTTAAATTTGGAACCATCCATTATCTTTACTAGCTTCTTCCTTTATGGGTCACTGGTGCCCATGTCCAGCAGTCACTGTGTGAGAGGTGGGGGACGCCCTGGACAGGTCTCAGTCCATCACAGGGACACAGAGACAAACAACCATTCACTCTCTCTCACCTAGGGACAAGTTAACCAATCAGTCTAACATGCACATTTTTGTCTGTGGGAGGAAACTGGAGTACCCAGAGAAAACCCACACGTGCACGGAGAGAACATGCAAACTGCACCCAGAAAGGCCCTGGACCCAGATTTGAACTGGCGACCTTCTCGCTGAGAGGCAGCAGCTCTACCGAGCCACTGTGCCGCCCAAATATGAAACCTGTTCCAAACAATAAAACCTTTCAGTAGCTCGGCAGCCATATTGGAGTCGTTTGGGTGAGGAACCTTTGACGTTCCGTGTCAAGAGTTAATCTTCAGGAGTGAGTCAGTTTATTCTTCTGACTCGGAGCTCAGTCGCTCTGACCTGCTACTAGTACCTCCGTATGTTTAAAATGAGGAGATTAAAAACAGGTAAGAAATAGTTCAGAACCTTTCCACACAACCCCACGTCAAAAGATGTGAACTTTGCCTTTAAGTGTTAAATTGATCTTAAATTGACAGCAAACTGTATGGAGTTATGAACGTGAGCCTGCAGGAAGTTTGAAGCAGCTCGGCTCGCTCCCGGTAAACTGACACGTTCATTCACTGACAAAAAGTTACTTTGGATTTTGTTTTCCTTCCTCAAAAGCTAACGTAACAAATCATTTTTAGTATCAGACACAAGTCTGAACGCTGATAAAAATAGTGAATAATGGAACAAACTGTTGATCAGATGGAAGCTGCTGAGATGAGCACCAAATGTCTTTTCTGAGGAAGGAACTCTTCTGCTCTTAAGTTCTGCAGAGTTCACAGACGGACTTCTTCAGCTGTCAATCAACAGCTGAAGGAAGATTCAGAAACTCTTTAGATGAATACAAAGTTTGTTTTCTCAGTCATCCAGGTATATAACAACAAAAAAGGTTGCATCATGTCATCTGGACTTCGTTTTTTTGTTAAAAAGAAACGTTTCGCCCCTCATCCAAGAGGCTTCGTCAGTCCAGATGACATGATTCAACTTTTTTTGTTGTTCTTTAGATGAATGTCTGCAATCTGTGTGTGTGTGTGGGGGGGGGGGGGGGGGGGGTCTAAAAGTTGACTGAACTCTGAGAAGTTCTGTAGAAGGACTGCCTTTAGGCTGGCCATCTTTATTTTTCACATCAAACACATGCAAAATAAATAAATCCCATAATTCTGTGACTGGACTTTAGAGGGATGAGTTAAACGAATTGGAAATTAAAAATTGTTTCACAAAAATATATAAATAATAATCTGGACTTTCTGGTTTGCTGCTGAGTCAGAATTCTTTAAAGAACATAAAAGTGTTTCCTCAGCAGAAACATTCAGCGGCGCTCAGTGAAACAGTTGCTGACTGGTTCATGAGGAACGGATGTAGCTGCAGAAACAAACAGGAAGTGATGGTGAGCAGCTCTGAACTGTCCCCAGGTCAGTGGAGGAGTCCCTCCTGTCTCTAGTCCCATCTCCACTGGTCTCCACTGGTCGTAGGAATATTACAGAAAGACACACGTTACGTCTCCCACGCTGCCACCAAACATGTAAATGCAACAGAACTTTAAGACCAGAAAATAAAACTCACATCTTCAAGTAGTAAAGAACAAAACAAAAATAAGTCACCTGACAATATTATTCCAAGGAGAATAATGAAACGGGCCCGGCTCGCCTCGTCTTCTGTTGGAGCAGAAAACAACTGAAGACCCGGCTCAATAAATACGTGTCACAGTTTCAGGTCTCCGTGTGGCCCAGAACCAGTTTCTCCTCGGCCTCAGTGCTTCCTGTAAATCTGCTGTCTGAATCAGGCTGTACAGCTCAAAGTTGATTGCAGAAAAAATGCCCAAACCTGTGAGACCCAGAGCCACTGTGGGCGCTGCGGGTCAGGATGGTTCAGAGAGACGGTCTCTGCAGGACTGATCAGACCGGCCCTCCACCTCCTGGGCCAACTCCACAGGCAGCTTGTGATGTGATTCCTGACCCCGGATCGGGTTTCCCCAGGCGTGCGTCCCGGCTCCTCCCAGACCTCCTCAGTGCTCCTGTTTAATGTAGTAGCTGCCCGAGCCGTTACTCTCCTGGTCCGAGGCTCCCTGGGAGAAGGTGAACTCGTCCACCTCAGCCGTCTCCTCTTTCATCCGCAGGAGAGACTCTGCAGGAGGAACAGACACGAGAAGCAGACGTGAGCCCAGTGAAAACATCAACATGCAACCAAACGTGCTCAGTGTAACTGGGATCCCTGAACCATGAGTGAAATAAAAACGTGGCTACAAAAAGCAGAGTACAGCATCAGCATTCAAAAAGCGTTCAATACAAAAACAACTGGACTTTATTTGTAACAGAAGACGTTTCGCTCCTCATCCGAGGAGCTTTCTCAATTCAAAGAGCAGAGAGTGAGAGATACAGGTTATAAGGCTGAGTGAGATAAGACACACACACACATAAGACACACACACATACTGTATATGTAGATTGGCAGTTCACACCTAAAAAAACCTAAAACAGTAGGTCTTTGTTCCTCTAATTCACAGACGAGGCCCCTCTGTTCCCATCAGGTGTGAAAACCGGCTGGGAATCTGTTTTAAAGTTGCATTATATGTTTTTGAAAGTGGGAATCTGAGGCCTCCTCCTCTGTTAAGAGATGGTTTTTCTCTTTTTACATAAATTGCTTCCTTCACCCCCCTCTCAAACCATCTGTGTTCTCGGTCCAAAATGTGCACATTCATTTTGGTCCTCAAAAGAGTGTCCCTTATCTGTGAGGTGGAGGTGAACAGCTGAGTCTTGTCCTGTGGAGCTGGCTCTCCTGTGTTGAGTCATGCGTCTGTGAAGAGGCTGTTTGAGAGGGGGGTGAAGGAAGCAATTTATGTAAAAAGAGAAAAGCCGTCTCTTAACAGAGGAGGAGGCCTCAGATTTCCACTTTCAAAAACATATAATGCAACTTTAAAACAGATTCCCAGCCGGTTTTCACACCTGATGGGAACAGAGGGGCCTCGACTGTGAATTAGAGGAACAAAGACCTACTGTTTAGGTTTTTTTTTAGGTGTGAACTGCCAATCTACATATACAGTATGTGTGTGTGTGTGTGTCTTATGTGTGTGTGTGTGTCTTATCTCACTCAGCCTTATAACCTGAATCTCTCACTCTCTGCTCTTTGAATTGAGAAAGCTCCTCGGATGAGGAGAGAAACGTCTTCTGTTACAAATAAAGTCCAGTTGTTTTTGTATTGAACGCTTTTTGAATTCATCATGTCCTGGATGACTGAGAATCTTCACCAGCATACAGCATCAGCAGCTCCACGCTGAGGCTCCGCCTCCTTCTATAGGCCCTGCTGAGCCTCGGAGGCTCTGGGCCCAGCTGCTTGTCAGTGGTGTGACTTTACCTGATTTGTGGGTTTGATGGAGGTGAGTTTGGGACCGAGACGGCCCCTGGGCATGGTAACTGGGTGGACTCTGCTCTTCGTCTCCTGAGAAGCTGCTCCTCCTCCTGCCTGCCTGACTGAAGGGCCGTCCACCAACCGGAATCTTCCTCTCTAAACACCAAGCCAGACTCAGGTCAGCTACCAGGGGCTTATTACAAACACAGGCTGAGTTCAGCTCCATCACAATCTCAGAGTTGAGTTGGTGAACCAGGAAGGAAAGTTAAAGAGGTTAGAGGTCAGAGGTCAGGGTGAAGCCTCTGATTGGACCTCGCAGTGAGAAACCCGTCTGAATAAGCCCCTGGTACGCTGTGCTCAAACTGCCAGACCCCAGGAAGCAGAGGCATCGTTAACTACCAACATCAGTACTACGAAACCACTTCACCACCAACAGTGAACTGCAAAAGTATTCATCCCCTTGGTATTCTTTTTATTTTCCTGCTGTACAAACTAGAATTTAAAACATCTCCACTTTGATTATAACAGACACTACTGCAAACTAATGAAGTTTATTGAAGAAAAATCTTTACAAATGTGTCACAATAATCTCAGTATATACACACACAACTGTTCTGATAGAGGTGTTCACTGCTGGAGTTTAAATACTAAGGACTACAAACAGGCATGTGACAGTAGGGCTGAGTACCGAACCGAGGTTCTTTAATGGCACCGACCGAACTGCACCGGTCGGTGTATGTATTGAAACGGCACTCTTTTTTTCGGTGTCAAGTTTCGATATTGGCTGTAACGTATCACGTGGTTTCAGCACGCAGGCAGGTAAAACACCAGACATATGACAAACAGACTACGTGTTTACACGCAGAGCTGTATAGAGCTGCTGCACCTAATCTATCTATAATGTCTGTCTATGGTGCTGGTGACGCCCACAGACGGGGTTCACGTGTGCAGCGCGTGTTGTCGAACGGCTCCGACAACACGAGCAGAAAGTTGCTCCCTGCTTCTCTGCAAGAAGACACGAAGCAGCCTCCCCTCCTCCTCTCAGCGTTAGTCAGTCTCTGTGTGTGTGTTAAACAGACTGAATCAACATTCCACGGCAAGACTCGTTTTCAATAAAGAACTCCCGAGGACGGCTCTGTGTCTGTTTCAGCTGGTGAGTTTACGTTTGTTAACATTACTGCAGCTTAAAACGTACATTGCGGTGAAATAACGCTAACTTTAAGATATTAGTGTGTAAATTTATTTTATCTACGTAGCTAGCTAAACTCAAGCTAACTAAAGATTGACAGTAACGGATAAATCTTAGCTTGTAAAACTGCTCATCCATCCAGTCAGCTGCTTCAACAGTTCAGCTAATGTTCACCGTTTGTTTATGTTCATGTTCTCCTCACAGGAGCCTCTGACCCAGACGTGAGGACAGACAGAAAAGCGAGGTGGGGGCCACAGGACAATCACAGACTTTGTTGTTAAAAGTTTGCTGCTTTTTCTACAGTGGAGCTGCACAGTGGAGGTAAGTCAACTGTAAAGGATTTTGTTGACCAGTTAAGCTTTTATCTCTCAGCCTAGATAATGTTTTTTTTTTTAGCAATAATAATACAACCATGTTATTGTTGATGTTTTGTTCTCATGTCAATTAGAGAGATGATCAGAGCCCTAAACCCCAGAGAAGATTCAGGCAGAGACACAGAGGTGCAGAAGTCTGCATCAACCCTACCTCAGTGAATCCAGTGACCTGCTGGTGGAAAGTGAGGGACAATATGTCAAACTGACAACCAGGTATCTGTGTGTGCAACAATCATCATCTACAGCCTCAGAGTGAACATGTTCTACTGCTGGAGACACCATCAACCAGGAGTGGGCTTGTTTGTGTCCAGAGAAAGAAGACATGTTGTTTCTGAAGAAAAACTGTTCAGTGAAAAGGTCCTCAGTGTGTAGCAGTGAGCATTAGACACTGACGTGTCACTGGTTTGAAACTGGTCTTTTGAACTGGAAATTATTTGTTTATTTTAATGTAAGAAAACTGCTTGGAATAGAAATACCAAAGTTAAAAAATAAAATTCACAATATGTACTGTAATGTGTAACGTCATTTTATTCTTGTTAGAATTAATATTAATTACAAAATTGGTACCGAAAAAAGAACCGTCCAGGAACCGACACCAAAGTGAAGGTACCGACACCGGTACAGATTTTTTTTAGAAAGGTACCAAGCCCTATGTGACAGCATGAAGACCAAGGAACTCTCCACACGGGTCAGAGACAAAGTTGTGTTGAAATGGTTGGGCTGTAAAAACAATAAAGTTCCCAAACTCTGAGAATTTCATGCTGCTCCAGTAAAAGGTAAATGGACTGTACTTACACATCACCTTTCTATCTCATCCAGACACTCAAAGCTCTTTACAACAATCTAAATACTATATACAGGGAATAATCAGTGATTTATCACATTCATACACTGATGGGACACACATCACAGGCAGTGAGGGGTTCAGTGTCTTGCCCAGGGACACTTCAGCATGTGACTGCTGGTGGAATCGAACCCCCAACTCTCCCACTGGAAGA